TTGTTGTTGAGCAGAGAAATATTAGAAGCACGTGTATACGTACGATTCTAGGTGGGACAGGGGGCGGAAATGGGGCTGGGGTCAATAATGGGGTAAGGTAAGTTAAGCTCAGGTCTTTGTGTGTGAAACCCTTGTGCCAAAGCTAAATATATATCCGTGTAAGATTTCACTTCGTTAGCTTCGCTCAATGTGCTGGTATCCCATTATTCTTATTTTTTAGATATATTTTTGTAAGTCAGAAGAGAACTCCTGCTGAAAGTTTTTCAACTTTAACTTGGCATTGACTTCTGCTTTTATTTCAGCTATTACTAACAAAAGTTATTATAAACTTAAGCCCTCAACAAAACATTTATCTATTGCTTATAAGTCTCTATTTGATGATTTTCAAATTGTTTTGCTAATTGCTTTATTTATGTTAATGTTAACATAAGTAACATAGGGTTTACTTTTGTACCCAATTTTTTTTTCAAACTATAACAGAAACTGCCCAATTAGGCAATTAATACATTTATCTATCATTTACAAAACCCTATTTTCTGATATTCAATTAGTTTTGCCAATTGCTTAATTTATGCTTAACAGAAACAACAAATAGTTTAATTTTGTGCACGGTATTTTCTTAAAAATAACAGAAAACAACAAAAAAAGACTAATATCGCTTTACAGCGAAGAGAGACACTGTTTACATGCGTGTCTTATCACACGCAGCTGTTTGTGTTGACAGCTGACCAAAGCTCTCACACGCTCGCGCTCTAACAGAGATCAAGAGCGCACATAACATATTGAGTTTAACATTAACAGTGTGAGCGCTGCTATGTGGCGTACAGCTGCTCAGCCGTCAATTGGGGTTTCAGTTGCGTTTTGATAATCGAACCGTGCGATCAACAAGTGAGCGAAGGGCGTGCATAAATCTGCCGTAGTTAAAGGCGCGCGTGAGCAATAGAGATAGAGAGGGAGAGAGAGAGCAACAACAACAACCACAACAGTGCTTATCAAAGCAAAGAACATAAAAAAAGGCACGATAAGCTGTCAGTTTTGTTCCTTTTTGTTTTGTTGTCTAGCTTTTACATTACAGCTGTGCGTGTGTGTGTGTGCGTTGTTTATATGTGTGCGTGCGTGTGTGTACGCCAATTGCGTACTAGATAATTTTGCAAGTGCCTGGCGACAGAGCGGCTGCCCCTCGACTGCGCACCCAGTTGCCAATATGACGTAATTTTCTCTGTGTAAATAAAAGTGTGCAGCAGCAGCAACAACAACAACAACAACAACAAGGGGGTCAAACAGACGGCGCAACAAGTGCAATGCAATTTTAACTTTGCTGAGAACAAAGCTTTGTCTACCTGCCTCGCCTCGCCCCGCCTTCATCGCCGCCTTTGCTGCCCACATTTTGAACGATCATCGTTATGAGCAGCATGTCAGCAGCTGGCGGGGAAAAGCGTCGCAGCAGCACAACGCCGCTGTCGGCGTCGGCGTCGGCAGCGACGCCGCTGGTACGCCGCAAATCGCAACGTGGAAATTGGTTTACGTAAGTTTTTTTTTCGCCACATTTGGCGTCCCACTCACGTGTGCCGAGCATAAGTGTTGTCAAAATGATAGGGTTGTGAAGAGGGAGGGTGAGGGGGTCACGACCACCCACCCAACGCAAAACGGAATCTGCCGATCAACTTTATGACAAAAACAATCAACAACAAGAATGCATAGCAAATGAGCCGCAACAACAACAATTGTAGAACTGAAACGCTGCCAAAAGCATAAGAAATAAATAAACAAAACGGATGTTGACAAAAGAAACCAAGCAAAAAGAAATGTAATCAAGTCGCACGCAGCAATACCCTAACTAAAAGCTGTGCTTACCGCAGGCCAAAAACAAAGGCTTTTCTTCGGCACGCCGCACACTTAATACCCTATTAAGCAGCTGGCGAGGCGAATTGTGAAGCTGAAAGACTTATTGATCAAAGCAAGATGGGCTCAAATATGTCTTTCCATATGCGTTACATGTTTGATCACAAAATTAGTATAACCTGACTTCTGTTTAGGGCTTGGTGCGGGGCTCGCCCATTTTAGGGATGAATAATCCGATGCTTGCATATTCATATTTGTTTTCTTACAACAATTTAAATACATGTATTTTAGTTCTGGTTCAGCTGCAGGGAAACTGAATCGGTTCAAGGTTCAGCTATTATATTGAAATAAGCACCGTTAAATCTGGTGCAAACCGGTTTTTAGTGAAAAAGCGCTTTGCAGCCTTGAAACACTTAACTGTAAAATCGTAAAAAAAAAAAGTCAGCTGAAAAAGCACTTTAACTAAACTAAATAACAGAAGAAAATATATATACTTATATAACAACAGGTGTATGCCCTATAATTATTGAACATAAATCAAAGCTTTCAAATGTGTTTTTGATTTGTTTTTATTAAGCAAAAAATCAACAACAAGAAGGGGGAAAAACATAGACTGTAAAAAAAAGAAACATTAAAAATGTAACAGTTTTTTTTTTCTTAGAAAGTTTACGAGCTATTTAATTTTGTATTATATATACGTATGCGTACCTAGTTTAAAGGGTCGTAAATGACTAGTTTTTATGATTTACGAACATCGTGACTACGCTTATAATATATGTATTTAACTATAATAAATATTTGGTGCGTAATAGCAGACCATAAAAAAACAACAACAACAAGATCAACATACAGCGGCATTGAATAACAAAATTCACACATACATATATATGCACACATATACAAGTATACATATGTGTGTGTGTATCTTAAAGTTACGCCTAGAAAAACAAAATAAACTCGAAAGTTGTCTGTGTTATTTCGCATCTTAAAATGCGCCTGTTAAATGTTATTGTTGCCATAACTGTACTCTGAACTCATTGTGAATGCTTTTTCCTAATGTTTTTATTACCCTCAGAAGGAAGCATATTCGACCACACAAATTATACAAATTGTTAAATATTCTTGAGCAGCATCGTCGTGCCAATTGTCGCCTTTCTATTACATTCTCACTGAGGAGGTTGCCAACGAACTGTTCCCAGGCTGCAGTAAACTGTAGAACAATTGCCACGCCATCTCGATGCTGGGTTCAGGGTATTTTCTAGTCGGTCAGTTTCCACAAGCACACTCTTGTTATTGTTGTTCCATGTGGTTGATAAGCGCTTCAACGACTGATAAAGTTATTGGATACCCAGAGATACTTTGGCGTATTGCTAAGGCCATCAACATTTACGCTTCTCATTCGAGCAAAGCTGCTGAACTGTTCATTTTATGTTTGGATACAAACAAACTGTTTATGGAAATACTTTAAATCCAAATCAAATCCATGATTGTTGCATAAACTGATATATATTGATGGCATAGTTAAGTTGGGCGCGGCGAATTCCATAAGAAACTCAACAGCTTGGTATTAAGCCCGAGATTCCAAAATAGCTTTAGAATATCCAGAATTTACACCTTGAAAAAAAGAAAAAAAGGTTCGCTCGTTTTGTGTTTAGTAAATGCAATTTTGCGATAATTCTTTCAGCAATGTTTTCTACAATCTGTTCCCACTGAAATTACTGGCAAGCCTAGCACAGGAATTTTCTAAAAAAAAAAAAAAACCAGCAGCTCATAAGTTTGTAAAAGTTAAACAAACTTGCTTTCTATATACATATATATATATATGTAGATAGGGTTTACAGTGAGGCAAAAGTTTTTGCTCCTTGTAATCGCTTTGGCCAATTAGAAAACTTAACCTCAATTTGTAAGCAGCTGCAATTGCCATTCAAATTTTGTTGAATGAACCTGCGTCAGCTGCACTTCACCTGCAGCTGCAGCATTGTCACTCAACAAGATTTGCAGCGAGAGTTTCAGTTGCCATTCAAAAAAAAAAAAAAAAAGAAAAATAAAAAGAAATATGTAAATAAAATTCGTTTATGCTTCGCTGCAGCTAAATACCGTTAATGTTGACCAACCGCCCACAGACTTAGGGCGTGTCCTTCAGGTGCAGCAGCACACCCTGCCTACCCTCTCCCACCCCTCTTCGGCCAGCCTTATTATTTATGCATTTTGATTTTAGTTAAAAGCGCGTTGAGCACATTGAGTGCCACTCCAGCTACTCAGACCCCCCCCTTCCAAGCCCCCTCTCCAGCATTTTCCACCCACTGAGCTCACCTGACACCTGCTTTCCCATAATTTCCTGCCATTTCCAACAATTTCCAACTAATTCCAAATACTCGCTAAGTACGCTTTTGTGCTGCTGTCTGATACTTGAATTCTCTGTTTGCCGAGCTCCTTTCTTGGCGCTTGACCAATAATAAAAAAAATATATAAAAAATATATATATTTCTTTATATTTAAGTGGAGAGCTTGAAAAACGGGGCTAGTTGCTTGTTTTTCGCAGAATTTTTGTTAGCATTGCGAGTGCTTGAATTGTAAGAAGTAAAGGCAGCTATTCTTCGGGCTGAATACGGTTGATATAAAAGTACAAGAAATATAGAAATATAGACCTTTACATTTAAAACTTTTATTGGGATTATAAATCGGGCCACAATCAATTCTTCCTTAAGCTCTTAATCTGTTAAAATCTGTTTAACTATTCTAAGTCAGACCACAACTATAACTCCCTTTATTAGGCGGACACACCTCTTGAGTGGACAAACATAAGCAAACGCTCGCTGCCCGTCTAAGAGAGTTAACCTTGTTATATGTGGAGTAACAAATATTTGACATAATATACAAAGATATCTTTCCCTTTTACCAATTAATTTGAAGAAATTTTCTTTTGAGCTTTTCAACTGAAGTCCAAATCCTGATCTAGTATATACATATATACATATCTGTTTTATGGGCTCCGAAATGCCTGCTTCAATTATGATAATTCCTTCGATATGGCTAGATTATAATAAAACTTTAACCTAGCCTCAACTTACAGTTCCACAAAAGTACTACTTATATCCAATATTTAATTTAAAGCAAAGAATTAACATTCGACCTCTTTGTGGTTTCACTTATTTCAGCAGAAAGTGCTTCCATGCGGCCTACTACTATCTGGACGATCCGCCGCATCATCCGAATGCCCCGCAGGTGGACTGGGAGGTGCCTGTGAAGATTGGCGATGAGATACGCGCCGCGGTGCCGGTAAATGAGTTTGCCAAGCACGTGGCCTCGCTGCATGCGGACGGGGATATTGGCTTTAGCCGGGAATACGAGGCCATACAGAACGAGTGCATCAGCGACGATCTGGCCTGTGAGCACTCGCAGCATCCGGAGAACAAGCGCAAGAATCGCTATCTGAACATAACAGCCTGTAAGTACACGCAATTACAGGGTATTCAATATGACTACTTCACACTCATCTTGCTCTTGCTCCTCTAGACGATCACAGTCGCGTACATTTGCATCCCACGCCGGGTCAGAAAAAGAATCTGGACTATATCAATGCCAATTTCATTGATGGCTATCAGAAGGCGCACGCCTTCATTGGCACCCAGGGCCCGCTGCCGGATACCTTCGATTGCTTCTGGCGCATGATCTGGGAGCAGCGCGTGGCCATTATCGTGATGATCACCAATTTGGTGGAGCGCGGCCGGCGTAAGTGTGATATGTATTGGCCCAAGGATGGCGTGGAGACCTATGGCGTTATACAGGTCAAGCTGGTCGAGGAGGAGGTCATGTCCACCTACACGGTGCGCACGCTCCAAATCAAGCATCTGAAGGTGAGTAGCACCCAAAGCTTCGCTGGTGTTATTTGATTCCCATTTCATTTTCACAGCTAAAGAAGAAGAAGCAGTGTAATTTGGAGAAACTTGTCTATCAATATCACTATACGAACTGGCCGGATCATGGCACACCGGATCATCCGTTGCCCGTGCTGAACTTCATCAAGAAATCCTCGGCTGCCAATCCCGCCGAGGCGGGTCCCATAGTCGTCCACTGCAGGTGAGTCAGCGAGGAGAAGCTCCTCCTCCTTGACAGCGGCTTATTGTAATCCTTTTTTTTTTCCTATTTCTCCTTCAGCGCTGGCGTCGGTCGCACTGGCACCTACATCGTTCTGGACGCCATGCTGAAGCAGATCCAGCAAAAGTCCATTGTCAATGTGTTTGGCTTTTTGCGTCACATACGCGCCCAGCGCAATTTCCTCGTCCAGACCGAGGAGCAATATATATTCCTGCACGACGCCCTGGTGGAGGCAATCGCCTCCGGCGAGACCAATCTGCCGGCCGAGCAAATCGAGGAGCTCAAGAATTGTACACCCTACTTGGAGCAGCAGTACAAGAATATCATACAATTCCAGACAAAGGACATACACATCGCCTCCGCCATGAAGCAGGTGAACTCGATCAAGAATCGCGGCGCCATCTTTCCCATCGAGGGCAGCCGTGTGCATTTAACACCCAAGCCCGGCGAGGATGGCAGCGACTATATCAATGCATCCTGGCTGCACGGCTTTCGGCGTCTGCGCGACTTTATTGTCACCCAACATCCGATGACGCACACGATAAAGGATTTCTGGCAAATGGTCTGGGACCACAATGCGCAGACCATTGTCCTGCTCTCCTCGCTGGACGACATTGTGAGTTTGAAGTGCAACAGCACCATTCAAGAAAAATCTCTGACATGCTTCTTCTTTTCGTTAATAGAACTTTGCGCAGTTCTGGCCAGACGAGGCCACGCCCATCGAGAGCGATTATTATCGCGTCAAATTCCTGAACAAGACAAACAAAAGCGACTACGTGAGCCGAGATTTCGTCATACAATCCATACAGGACGACTACGAGCTGAGCGTCAAGATGCTGCACTGCCCCAGCTGGCCGGAGATGTCCAATCCGAACAGCATATACGATTTCATAGTCGATGTGCACGAACGCTGCAACGATTATCGCAACGGACCCATTGTGGTTGTCGACAGGTGAGACAAAGCGAATACTTAGCCAGATGTTGATCCACTAATCCAAGCAATCCTTTATCAGATATGGCGGCGCACAGGCGTGCACCTTCTGTGCCATCTCCTCGCTGGCCATCGAGATGGAATACTGCAATACGGCGAATGTGTATCAGTATGCCAAGCTATATCATAACAAGCGACCCGGCGTGTGGACCTCCAGCGAGGATATACGTCTCATCTATAATATTCTGTCCTATTTGCCTGGCAATCTCAGTTTATTGAAGCGCACCGCGCTGCGCACCGAATTCGAGGATGTGACAACGGCCACGCCGGATCTCTATAGCAAAATATGCAGCAATGGTAATGTCATACACCAACAACAACAACAGCAACAGTTGCTGCTGGCACAGCAGCAACAACAGCTGCTGCAGCTGCAAATGCAACACGAAACACAACAGCTACAACAGCAACAACAACAATCGCAGACGCAGCAGCAGCACACACAGTCAAATCTCATTAGTCATAGTCATGCAACAGCAACAATAACTGAAACAACAAATGCAACTGCAACAAATGCAACAACAAACACAAATACAAATACAACACATACTAATTCTAGCTTATTGCCCATCTCATCATTGTTACCACCCACAGTTGCTCCATCATCCATCACACCCACACCCAGCAATGACATGCCCAATCCAACAACAACAACAACATCAACAACAACTACAACAATTCCTACACCAACAACACCAACAACTGCAACAACACCTACAACTGATCTAACCCATACTAATGCTAATTTTACCACTGTTACTAATAATGCTGCTGATGTGCCGCCAATTGTTGCTCTTAATGCTGATGAACTGGCCCAACAACAACAACAACTGCATCAACAACAACAAATGCTCGCGCTGATGCAACAACAAACGCAACTGCAACAACAATACAACACGCATCAACAACAACAACAATCGGATAATGCCAACTGCCTGCTGTCGCCCACGCATGTTGATGAATTGCTGCAACCTGCAACAACAACAACAACAACAACAACAATGTCAACAACTTTGTGCAACAACAACAACAACAACAACAACCTGCAACAACCGGCAGCAGTCACAGATGCTCAAAACTTAGATATTGTAGCTTAGATTTAATGTTACAAAATAATTGAAAAAATCATTTTATAAATGCTAGCATATAAATACAACTAAATCTAAATATACATATAAATATATATATATAATTATTATTACAAAATTTAACATAATTAAATATATAATTATTGTAAACATTTGCCTAGTTTTATTAAGCGCGTCCTTAAACCTATTTTACATATTATTTAACATTTATTTATTGCTGTACACGTTCTTCTTTTTACCCATATATTGTTTTAAATATCTTTTCGAGTCCTTAACAAATCCTGTTTATAATTAAATACCCGATCAATCGATTATTAATGTTCAATTTACATTCAAATTGTATTCAAACGTAGTCGCAAGCAAGAAACATAAATTAGACAAATAAGCAAAAACTAGCAGCAAGGCACATGATTAAATATATTTAATAAATATATATACATATATCATAATAATGTTTAAATGTAGTTAAACGCACAAAATGCAAAAATAGTTCCCAAAATGAAAAAAACACAAGAAAGAAAATAACACACACAAATTAAAGAAGACGAAAATTGCCCTCAATTTGTTAAATCGAATTAATTAGTTTTTATGTACGAGTTAATCGAAAATTTGTGCCATGCTCGAAATATTGAGTTGAAATCAGGTTCTTATATAAGGTCAGTTTACCGTTAAATATTGTCATATTGTTTGCCAAATTGATTCAATGTCCGTCATACAATCTGTTAACTGTTTTTTTCTGCTCAAAATTCTTCACAACGATTTCAAATGTTGAAACTTAAAAAAAGAAATACAAAAAAAAAAAAAAAAACGTAGCGAAAATTATGCGAATTTAATAGAGAGGAAAATGAACATATTTACGACAAATTTTGCATACATATAGATAATGTCATGTCTAGATATAACATATATATATATATATATATATATAATATATGTATTTATATATGTATTTTCAAAGGCACAAGAAATATTTTCTCAAATTTATTCAAAGCACCTAAACATGCACCGCATCACTGTAAATCCCCAAAAAACAAAATTAAATTAAATAAAGTTAAATAAAAAAATTGATGTAGAACACACACACACACACACACACACAGGCACATCACAAATGTAAATATATGTACGCCTCGTAGTTGTAGAAACGCTTGAAAGAATGAGAAAAATAACTTGGCTTAAGGCGAGCTCTTAATCGGCTCTTCACGCTATAAATATTGTAAAAAAAAAAAAGAAACGAAAAAAATAAGTAAATAAAAAAAAAAACATTGCGAAGAAAAAGAACAAATTGCTTAGCGTTTAGTATTTAAGAACTAATTGTGTGTAAATCGTAGCGCAGGCAAAGTATTACTAAAATAGAAATTCGTGTGGTAAAAAGAAAACATAAACAAAATAGAAAAGAGAAAATTGAAAATTGTTTTTCTTAAATGTAAGCAAGACAAAAAATCGCACCAGAAATAAGATTTAAAATATGAGCACAGGGTGTTTCCCCTCAAATGGTCCAATGCCATTTTGTACAGATTCAAAACTAATTTAATAATCGAACGCTTGTGTGTTCCAGTCTAAAAATGGGCTCAGTGGATTACACAAGCATAAAACTACATATAAATAGTATATAGCATGGAGCAAGTCCGCTTTAAAAATATATATATATATGTATGTATGTATGTATGATCCGTAAAGCGTACACAGTCGGGTTTCGCCCAACAATTATGCTTCGCGCACGCCACATTCACTTCGGATTTAAGCCACATTTAGGATTTATGCATTTGCGAACGCGAATGCGATTGTATATGTATATGTATTTACTGATAAACAACATAATGTTTTAAAGACTGGTTTTTTGTACACTTTATCTTAAGCGCAGATCTACTACTGTCTATATTAATTATTCATTATTGTATCCAAACTTGATTTCAATCAAAATTGCTTTCGATTTCGAGTATACCAAAACTTCAAGTTCAGTTCTTGGCAAAATACCTTTAATAGATATCATTATTAAAATGAAATCCAATCTCTACTCTATTATTTCGCCCAAACAAAAAGCTGCATTTCTAGATGAAAAGTAAACAAAAAAAAAACCTTTAACCTAACGACCAATTTTTGAAATTATTTTTGTTATAGAGCTATGCAAAACTCTAGACACTTGTATTAACTTAAGTGTTTAAGAAACGTTCTACTTATAAAGAAAGCTTGTAAATTCTCATAACTTAAAAAAAAAGAAACGGCAAAACTAGAATGCTTCATCTGTAATATACGAAAAGCCCATATTATTTTCGAAAAACAAAAAAAAAAAAAACGATAACTAAAGCATTTTAACTATGAAAACACAAAGTAGCTATTAGTTATACATAATGTATGTATTATTAAAACACAAAAAACGAAAATATTTAATGAATGAATGGATGAATTTGTAAATGACAGCCAAACAATCTGGACAGCATCTGGCCTGGCCATATATTCCCAGCCAATGTGAAGAAAACAGCCGAAAAAAAAAATAAATAAAAAATATTCAAAAAAAAAAAAAAAGAAAAAAACTGCACACACTTCTCGAGCAAGGAAACCTTTCCAAGACTAACTACCTTCACAAATCATATAATTAATATATATATATATAAATATATATATTATCTAATTGACGGTGTTATGCAATTTATAAATGTGATGAATGTCAAACTTAAGCGTATAAAAACGTATACAAAAATATTAAAAAAAAACCAAAAAAAAAAAAAACAGTTTAGTAAAAAAGCTGAAATGTAGCGAAAACCGAAGTAAGCATAACCCACGATTTTAGAGCTAAGCATAAAGCGAAGGGTTGATACCAGAAAGCAGCCCATAGTTTTTAAAGGGAATTACAGAGTAGCAGCAAATGAGGATAAACAGTTAAGAGAGAGAAGCGTAGAAGTGCAGCAAATGGAGTAAAGCAAGTTTAAAGAGTAGCAAACGCTTCTACAAGTAAAGAAGCAAAGAGTGGCGCGATAAGATAATGAATCTCGATATACCAGAAAATTGAAAGAAAACAAAAAAAAACACAAGCAAAAAAATATAAGTTTATGTACACCTAAGTTAACGGATAAGCTAATGAAGAGTTGATATGGATGCAAGCAAAAAAAAAAAAAAAAAACAAAAACAACAACAAAAAACAAAAAGAAATCTTATAAACCTAAAGTGAATGGAAATACAAATAAAGAACATCTAATTTAAATTGTTTAGAATCGGACTCACATTCAAAGCGGAGCGCGCGATTGCAATGTAAATTCCACATCCATTTGGCCAAAGCTGCTGCGCGGGAACACGTCGGGCAGCCAGGAGATATATAATCCACTTTTTATCTGTTAGCAAAGAAATTACAGGGTATTATAAGGTACTGTTATAGGCTTAGCTTAGGTTACAACGTTTCAACCTGGCATTCCACTTGGCCAAGAAAACCCCTTCGATTTTTGTTTAAAGCAAACATTTTGGTACTTTGAAAAGATATCTTTTAAACACGTTTTGATTTTGTCTTCAGACTGCATGAGGATTTGAGCCCCGAACTTTGTCTAACCCTTTCTAGAGATTGTGTTTGAATATAAGTATTTGAGCAAATAATATTTCTAACAAGTTGAAATGAAATTTCCTTATTGTGGAATGCCAGGTTTACGATGCGCATTCATAATTTTAGCCATCTGCAGCTATGTTAGCGACTAGTTTTAAATAACAGTTAAAATTTGCACCTGTTGCTCGACATCGAAGAGCATTTTAACCATAAAAAGCCGCAGTTTTGTATGCACCAAGCGCTGTTTGCCCTGTGCAGCTGTCTGCGCGGGCGTCTGACGCACATAGGGCACAAATTGTCCATCTGCATGGCGTTCAAAGCAGCGCTCCAGCTGCAAGCTAATCTATTTTTAACAGAAACATCAATTAGTTTTCTGAATTAAGTAATATGATAAGACATACATTGCGACTGCTGAAGATGCGCTTCACAGTGTGCGAGGCGCTGAAGTGCCAGACATACTTGCTAAGACCTTTGTGTCTGCCGGCTTCGATGACTGTAACTTGGTGCAGGGGACGCCGCTTGATGCCCGCACTGAAGCTTTTGCTAAAATGCGAGAATGTTTCCTGAAATATACTAATATTAGATACATGTTTTCGATATATATATATAACTATTTGTCCTGACTAATTTGTGATCAACACACAGGACAAATCGCAAGGATTAGGAGAATTTCACACACACACAATGAATCTCACCTTGTGAACATGAAAACTTTGGAGCAGCTGCCGCGTGGTAACTGCCTGCATAGCCGCAGGATCCGGCTCGATGGATACGTTGAGCAGCTCTATCACATAGTCCAGCCAGGCCTGATAGGCCAATGCCGGCTCCACAACCACGCCCACAGCCTCAGCAGCAGTTTTGCAGTTCGGCTCATTAACAATGAGCGCACGCTTCGCTGGCAGCGGCGGTTGCTTGCGCGTCTTGACCTCCTCCACAATTTCAGAAGCTTTAATGGCGGACTTCTTGACCACCGCAATGGTGGGCAGCTCTATGGCATGCAGCTGATTGGTGGCCGCTGGCGGCGCCTTTGTGTAGATAGGCTGAGGCGCCAGGATGTTGAAGGGTTCGCCGACCAGTGGCAGCTCAATATCGTCGCTGCACAAATCAATTTGGTCGGTCAGCTGATACTGATCCATCAGCTCAATATTGCAATCGGTCAGCTCCAGATGTTGGTCCTGCTGCTGCTCAGCGTATATATCGAAATTGGACAAAAGCTGCGCGTCGTTGACCAAACTGCTGCAGTTGCTATTCGAAGATGGCGTGGTGTTCACATCGTAAATGATGTCCGACAGCTCCTCCGGCATGGGCAGCAGCTAAAATATAAGTATTTATATTAATTATGCATCTTCGCTGACTGCAAAAAGCTTACATTCGTGTCTGCCACACAGAATTCATCGTCAAATATGTATATATCTTCGGCAGGATCAATATCGCCGCTTAAGTTGATGCTCAAGCTCAAGCGCAAATCGTCGTGCGTGGCCTCGCCCAGTGGCGTCTCCAGCTTGTCGGGCATCCAGAACGTTTGCAGGCTTTTCGTAAAGTTGCCATAGATTGTTTTGCCCTGCGGTGAACTGAGTATGCCGGCCAGCACGAGCAGCAAATGGTCACAGATTTCGTCCTGCATGACCAGCGAGTTGTCCGGCTCCACGATAATCTTTAGCTTGCGACAGGCACACGCATATGTGCCCTTCTTGGTGGACAGTCCATTGGCAAGGGCCGTCACGTGCAGCTGCCCAGCTGGAAATGTATTGGAGGACTCGCACTTGACAACAAACGTGGTTGCGTTTAGGCGCTGCACAGCCGGCAGCTGTTCCCGCTCTTCGGCCGCCTTGTACAGCTGCCAGAGCTGTTGCTTCTGTTCCAGACTGATGTTCAGATTCCAGAGCACCTCGCGCGACACCGTGTACACCTGCGCCTTGGGCATCTGATCGTGACCCTCGCGGCAGGCTTTTATGTGCCGGCAATCGTTGGCGGCCTTGCATGCATCCACATAGCACACGGCCTTGCTGGACACCACAGCTGCGTTCGGTTGCAGCGACAGAGTCACATCCTCAATGCACACAAAGTTGCGCGGTTGCGCCTCCGGATCCCGTTCTTTGGTGCGCACCGAATAGATGGCACAGCCAGCACGCCGGCAAACGAGTTGCACGCCATCGAGCACATTCTTGTTTTGGGGACATGTGGTATTCCGACAGAGGAGCGCACGACTGCCATTTATGGCGCCACAACTTGCACATTTTCTCAAGCCGCGTAATGTGGGACGCTGAATTTGTTTTAAATCCGCACTTTTAGTTTCGCTAGACATAACCGCAGTGCTGCCAGATCACCCGAGAAACATGGCTAACCTATCGATACAACTTACCTGTTTGTTATCGAACGAGACGTTATTTTTAAGCGCCAAGTAAAAATTTCAAATTTGTTTCATTATAATTTTGCAGTTTATTAAACAATTCTTAGTTATACAGTTATAATAGATCTTAGTTCGGTCAGCATCAAGGAATAAGTGTATTTATTATAAAATTATAAAATTACCTACTCGCTACATGCCGCTCCAAACTTTCTAGACAGTCAAATTCAACCTGAGCCTCAATCCAGCAACTGCAAAGATTGTCAATATGCGCGTTATGTTGTTTTGGAACGTCATATCTCCACGCGGAGTTATGTCGTTTTAGAACGTCATATCTCCGCGGGGAGTTCTGTCGTTTTGAAACGTCATATCTCCGCGCGGAGCTATTACCCGAAATATTAAAAAAAAATCATCGAAAAAGTTTCGATTTTCGCACCGACCTCGATTTTTAAAAAAATCGTGATGAAAGTCATATCTCCGCGCGGAGCTATGTCGTTGTGGAACGTCATATCTCCGCGCGGAGTTATGTCGTTTTGGAACGTCATATCTCCACGCGGAGTTATGTCGTTTTGGAACGTCATATCTCCGCGCGGAAATATGTCGTTTTGGAACGTCATATCTCCGCGCGGAGCTATTACCCAAAATATTAAAAAAAATCATCGAAAAAGTTTCGATTTTCGCACCGACCTCGACTTTGAAAAAAATCGTGATGAACGTCATATCTCCGCGGGGAGTTCTGTCATTTTGAATCGTCATATCTCCTCGAAAAAGTTTCGATTTTCGCACCGACCCCGATTTTGAAAAAAATCGTGATAAAGGTCATATCTCCGCGCGGAGTTATGTCGTTTTGGAACGTCATATCTCCTCGAAAAAGTTTCGATTTTCGCACTGACCCCGATTTTGAAAAAAATCGTGATATAGGTCATATCTCCGCGCGGAGTTATGTCGTTTTGGAACGTCATATCTCCGCGCGGAGTTATGTCGTTTTGAAACGTCATATCTCCGCGCGGAGCTATTACCCAAAATATTAAAAAAAATCATCGAAAAAGTTTCGATTTTCGCACCGACCTCGACTTTGAAAAAAATCGTGATGAACGTCATATCTCCGCGGGGAGTTCTGTCATTTTGAATCGTCATATCTCCTCGAAAAAGTTTCGATTTTCGCACCGACCCCGATTTTGAAAAAAATCGTGATAAAGGTCATATCTCCGCGCGGAGTTATGTCGTTTTGGAACGTCATATCTCCTCGAAAAAGTTTCGATTTTCGCACCGACCTCGATTTTTAAAAAAATCGTGATGAAAGTCATATCTCCGCGCGGAGCTATGTCGTTGTGGAACGTCATATCTCCGCGCGGAGTTATGTCGTTTTGGAACGTCATATCTCCACGCGGAGTTATGTCGTTTTGGAACGTCATATCTCCGCGCGGAGTTATGTCGTTTTGAAACGTCATATCTCCGCGCGGAGTTATGTCGTTTTGAAACGTCATATCTCCGCGCGGAGTTATGTCGTTTTGAAACGTCATATCTCCGCGCGGAGCTATTACCCAAAATATTAAAAAAAATCATCGAAAAAGTTTCGATTTTCGCACCGACCTCGACTTTGAAAAAAATCGTGATGAACGTCATATCTCCGCGGGGAGTTCTGTCATTTTGAATCGTCATATCTCCTCGAAAAAGTTTCGATTTTCGCACCGACCCCGATTTTGAAAAAAATCGTGATAAAGGTCATATCTCCGCGCGGAGTTATGTCGTTTTGGAACGTCATATCTCCTCGAAAAAGTTTCGATTTTCGCACCGACCCCGATTTTGAAAAAAATCGTGATAAAGGTCATATCTCCGCGTGGAGTTTGTCGTTTTGGAAAGTCATATCTCCGCGCGGAAGTATGTCGTTTTGGAACGTCATATCTCCGCGGGAAGTTCTGTCGTTTTGAAACGTCATATCTCCGCGGGGAGTTCTGTCATTTTGAAACGTCATATCTCCGCGCGGAGCTATTACCCAAAATATTAAAAAAAATCATCGAAAAAGTTTCGATTTTCGCACCGACCCCGGTTTTGAAAAAAATCGTGATAAAGGTCATATCTCCGCGCAGAGTTATGTCGTTTTGGAACGTCATATCTCCTCGAAAAAGTTTCGATTTTCGCACTGACCCCGATTTTGAAAAAAATCGTGATAAAGGTCATATCTCCGCGCGGAGTTATGTCGTTTTGAAACGTCCTATCTCCGCGGGGAGTTATGTCGTTTTGAAACGTCATATCTCCGCGCGGAGCTATTACCCAAAATATTAAAAAAAATCATCGAAAAAGTTTCGATTTTAGC